ATCCCCCGATGACGATATATTACTACCTCCCCCTGAGGAAGCAGAGGAAGGAGACGAAAAAACTCAGCGGTTCAGCATATCAGAGTCAGCCAGCGATTTACTTCTCTTCCTTTTACGTGTTGGTGATTCTTGAGATTTGCCTTTGAATTGTTAGGCTCTGGATTTTACAAGCGCTCAACCACAGGGGAGAGGTTGCGAGCCAACATACCTTGAATGAGTGTCATTGCGGGAAGGTCGGTCTTGATCTTATGGGGAGCTTTGACGCGTGATTCCTTCTCCATATATTCGGTTTTATGGTTCCCATCTGCAATAGGCTTAGATTTTGCTACAACTGCCACACGACTTGGTTGTGAACCTTCTATTTCTAAAGTATGTTCATCCGTTACAGACGTTTCCGCTCGTACGCGACTATGAATCTTCTTTGATGTTTTCCCATATTGCACACGAGCCCGCCGTGCGCTCATGTCGAAAGGATAGAAAAGTGGTTGGGAGTCAACTTGTGCTTGATCCCAGCCACTACTAAGACACTCATCCCCACTCACTACCCTCTTCTAAGCCGACCTTTTGAGAGTGTATTCGTCACTCTTTCACCCCACACAGGTCGACAATGTCTTCGAAACTCCGAGTGCTGGCCAGGACCAGCAATACTTTAGCTTTACAAGGTTCGTTCCGTACGAGGGAAGAAAAATATGCTAATTATGAACACAGGAAAGAGATTTCATCCTCCACAGACTTTGAGGTTGGGCCATATCACATCCGCAATAAACCTGAAAAGATTTCGCTTACCATCTCCCTATGTCATACCTATAGAAACAACTTTTTAGCACAATATGCAACCGGCGCTGCGGGTGCAGACAAATTTACTGGGAAACGTACAACTCTTGATATCAAGATGCCCAACCTGGAGGAGCCGGAAGAAAGTACTCAGATAGACCAGGCGAACGTAGTGAGTGTTTTTCCAACTCCCCTGTAAGAACGGTCATTTCTAACGTCGTTATCACAGCCTTTCGTTCCCGACCTTTATCAATCCGAGGCAAAGTCCGCGAAAATAGCCGCAGAAAAAGCGGAAACAGCGTTGCCGGGCGATGTTCCTTTACCGAAGGTAGTCACGGCGTCAGCAGTTATAAATATGCCGAAATCCTACTTTTCGGTCTGGCTTGAAATCTTCATTAGCACCAGACAATTG